TTACTCACCCACCTGTGTTTACTTTATTATAAATGATGTATCTGTGCTCATATAAAATAAAATTTTCTACTTGCAGACTAATTCTCATCTCCATCAAGAACATCATTCCAGGATTGACCTCTCTCTCCGGTATCATCAAATTTTCCACTTCTATTGTATCATTCCCACTGGTATACAAACAGGCTGTTAATTCCTCCCATCTTAAAAATAATAAAAATAAAACTTCCATAACCTACAACCCCCTTCAGTACTTCTTAGCTCCATTTTGCAGCAAAACTCCTCGAAGGAGTTCTCTATCCATTTTACTGTCAATGAGTTTGTATACTCATTTTCTCCCCTTTTTTCATGCTCTTTTGGATCCAACTGGAGCTCCAGAGTGATATCCACGGACCTCCTTTCTGACTATACTCACCTCACAGTAATTTCATCTAGTCCTATGACTTTAAACTGATATTAAATAGATATTGTTTGTCTCCTCATTTTTTTCTCTTCGTTTTAAGTTTGGATAATTTCTGTTGACCTATCTTCAAGTTCACTGATTCTCTCCTTGGTCTTGTTGAGTCTACTAATAAGCCCCAAAATATATTCCATCTAAGTCACAATGGTTATTTCTAGCACTTCCATTTGACGCTTTCATATAGTTTCCATCCTCTGATGAAATTTACTATCGGTTCATATATGTTGTCCGCCTTTTCCATTAGAATCTTTAATATGTTGTTCATTGTTATTTTACACTCATCTCATAGTTATAACTGGGTCATCTTGAGTCTATTGATTATTTTTATTTTTGACAATGGGTTATTTTTTCTTGTTTTGTATGTTTCATAATTTTTGCCTAAATGATGAATATCAGTATAAGACAGTACAGACTGAGGAAATAGTATTTACGGCAGAAAATGGGCAAGCCTCCTCTTCGACTAGCTATCAGTGGGGAATGAGAGAAGGCAGGGGTTGAGTTAATCTATTCTGGAATTGAGCTGGGTTTGGATTTGTCACTATGATTTCCTTAAGTGCACTACCAATTTCAAATTTCTCTAGTGTGACCTTCTGCTTAGAGCGGGGACTGGTTTGCCAGAGAGTTTTTCTCACTGGTCTTACTCCAGTCTCAGCTTTAGGCTTTCTCTGTGCACCTGCCCCAGAGGCTCTCTCTATACTCTTGCCTCTCCCCAGGGAGGCAAACTGCTGTTGCTTTACTTGCTAGCAGGGAAAAGGGAGGTTCTCTGTTATCCAGACCCAGTCTCCAGTCTCAAGCAAGCCCCATATCCTGGAGTTTCAGGGGTGGGGCTTTCTCCCAGTAATAGTAAAACTAATGATCTGAACACAGGACAGTTTCCTATTCTTCCCTCAGGGTTTATTCCCTTCCTCCAGTGGCTTAAAGCTGTATTCCACAGGGAAAAAGGGTCCGGGTAGGCCTGTATCACCTAGCAAGGCTTTTGCTGGTCTCCTCTGCTTCTCTCAGTCTTTCTTACGAGCAACTGTTGAAGGTCACTGGAAGAAAGCCTGCAAGTGGATGTTACCCACCCTTGTGTCTACAGTCCACAAGGGTTTTATATTCTCATGCTAGCCTACACTTATAGACTTTAGCAATTCATTAAAAATTTAGCTGAATTCTTCTTTCCCCTGTATGGTAGCCATGCCTTCTTCCTGTCCTGTGCTACAGGTAAGCCATGCCCAAATTTCACCTCTGATGAGTTGAGAAAGTTTTGTATATTATAGCTTATTCTTATTTTAGGGTGGGAGCAATACTCTTTCTTTCTACATCCTAAGTGAAAGCCAGAAATCACTCCATGAGTTTAAAGACCATCTATAAATCCACAACTCTTAAATTTACATTTCTAGTTTGGACCTCTCTGGACTACAGACCATATATATCCAACTGCCTACTGAACAAATCTACTTGTATAGCCTGGCAGACAAACCCTAAGGTGGCCCCCATGATCCCCACTTCCTGGTGTTCATATCTTTGTGTAATCCTCTCCCCTTGAGTGTGGGAGTGACCTGCGACTTGCTTCTGACCAATAGAATCAGGCAAAGATGAAGGGCTGTCATTCTTATGACTGTGTTATATTTTATGGCAAAGGGACGGGATATCATTCCCCTGGTTATGTTATATTATTTGACTCTCTCTTGCTGCAGACTCACTCTCCCTCTTGTTGGACTTTTAGAAGCAGGCTGCCATGTTGTGAACTGCTTATGGAGAGGACCATGTGGCAGCAAATTGTGGGCAACCTCTAAGGGCTGTGGGTAGCCAACAGAAAACTGAAGCTCTCATTTCTACAGCTGCAACAAAATGAATTCTGCCATCAACCTGAGTGAGCTTGTTCTCCAGTCTAGCTTCCAGAACTCGGCCCCAGCCAATACCCTGAGTGCAGCCTGGTGAAACTGAAGCGCAGGGAACCCAGCTAAAACATGCCTGACTCCATAGAAACAGTGAAACAACAAATGTATCTTCTTTTAAGCCATTAAATTTGTGGTAATGTTTTGCAGCACAGAAAATGAATACAGATAGTTATCACAAGCTTAACAAGCCAAATTCCTGATTGCCAACAGCCTTTCAAAAAGAAAAGAAAAACATGCTGCACTATTGTCCGTCTCAACAAATGGCTACTCTGTTCTTACTCAAGCCAAAAACTATGGAGTCAATCTTGACTCCTCCCTCCCTCCCCCAAAAGTGACGTTAAATCCAAAATCAAACACTGTTGATTTTACAACCAAATTATATCAAGAATCTAATTATCTCAGCACCATCACTGCTACCATCTTGGTCTAAGCCACAACTGTTGCACATTATTTTAACAGTCTCCTAACTGGTTTTCACGCTTCCACTCCGCAAAACAGCCAGAGTGATCCTATTAAAATATCAGTCAGATAATGTTTTTACTCAAAACACTCCAAAAGTTCTGTATCTCACCCAGATTAAAAGCCAGAAATCTTATAGTGACATACAAGGCCTACATTATCTGGTGCTCTTCCCCTCCACCCCAAACCTCTCCACCTCATCTTGTATAACTCTCCTCATTCCTCCCACTCCCACAATACTTGCCTCCCTGCTGTTCTGTAACCATGCGGAGCACATATCAGTCTCAAAGTTTTACAACTGTTGGTCCATATAATTGAAGAAGTATTTCCACAGATAAGACTTCTCTGACCACCTTATATAAAAGGGCAAATCCTCCTGTCTCCAGCAACAACTCCCTACCCCTCCTACCCTAATTAACTAGTCTCCACAGCACATACTGACAACTGATATCCATGTTATTGCTTTCTCCCCAAAACCAGAATGTAAGTTCCATGAGACCTGAGATTTTTGTTCACTGCTATAACCCTAGTTTAAACTGAATAATTAAATAACTAGTAATATATTATATACTGTTTGCTCACAGAATTCAGTCTAACAGTCAAGCCATAAGAATACTTCAGATATAAAGTCAGAGATATCATTTTTTAAATCATTGTAAAATTATTTACCACCTATAAATATACTTATTCTATTTCATTATGAATATGCTTCTGAGCAAATCTGGAAAACATTCACATATAACCAAAAATAACTAAGATATATAAATAAGCCAAATTAAAATGAAAAAGTTTCTGTTAAGGGCTCAAATAACAGAAAGGAAACTGAAGAACTCTATTATTGTTTCTCTAGCACCATCTGGAGAAGATACCGTTATCCTTCACAGGTATAGGCAAACAATAGAGAAGGATGCATCAAGCTTGAAGGAATGACCCTTTAGGTCCTTGGTTCTCAAACTTTTTGGTCGCAAGACCCTTCGACACTGTTAAAAATTATTGAGAACCCCAAAGAACTTTTATTTATGTGGGTTTTTAATCTACTAATACATTTAAAATTACAACAGTAATTTTAAAAATATTTAACAGTTCATTTAAAAATAACTATATATCCATTACATGTTAGCATAAATAACAATTTGCATTACTAAATTTCCCCCAAGAAAATTAGTGAGAGAAATGGCATCGTTTTACATTTCTGCAAATCTCCTTAATGTTTGAGTTAATAGAAAATGGCTGAATTTTCTTACTGCTTCTACATTAAATATATTGCCATATGTTGTTTTGTTCAGGTATATGCAGTTTGGCCTCACACAGATGTGTAGCTGGAAAAGGGAGGAATGTTTTATTAGTCTTTTCAGATAACTGTGGCTATTCTTCTTTGATGTAGTTTCTTAAATGTTGTCTGTAATGTACAATCTGAATTTGTGTACTCTGTTAACATTAAAATCCACTGGTCTATCTTGCACTCTGAATGGATCTTATACCCATACATGACTTTGTAATACAATTTTGTAATTAAAAAGTCTAACTACTGGGAAGCTGTCGAGTTTACAATGGTGAATACAAGTGTTCCAAAATTCTAATTTTTGCTTGAAAGTCCAAATCTTTTCACTGGCAACAAATACTGTGTTGTTTTCCTTAAAGTGGGTCAGGTGCATGGATCGGACAATTTAAAACTGAAAAAATATCATCAGTTCTGCAATATGCATGCCTGTCAATTTAAATCCTCTAACAAATATGCCTATTTTCCAGTTCAATAAAAATTATTTTCCATATGTCCATAATAAATCTATTGAATTGAAGATGATTTACCTCCTGAAACTATCAGTCTATTTCAAGTTAGCTCAATGAGCCAAATAAGTTTTCATTTTTCTTATACAGCAACAAAATTAGTCTTAAAATCTAAATCATGCACTACATAAAATGAAATCTACTTCTCCAAATTTAGAGAGGTATATAGTTATCAAAATAATATTAACTATATTTTCTATAAAAGAAAATAAAACCAAATCATCCTAACAAGATATTTAAATGAAATCTGTTTTCCACATACTTCAACATTTTACCATTTTTTTTTGCTAGGTTCTTTTTTGTTTGTCATGTTTGTGTTCAGTTCTTTTTTGAACATTAGTAATTAGAGATGTGAAACAACCCATACAAAATATTCCTAACTGACTCAATATTTTGGCTAGTCCTTTCCTTACCTGTTGAGCAATATGAGAAATATGAGCTCCCTGAACTGTTGAACCAGGTTGAGGTGTTGTTTCTGAAGTGTTACCCTTGTGGGAATCTTCCATAATCAACTGTAAAGGGGAAAAAAAATCCGTTAAAAGATGCTTTCTGACTTTATTTTCAAGAAATCTTAAGATATTTTTCTCAACATGCATACTTTTTCAGAGGAAAAAGTCAAAGCCTTTCTATACTGTGGGCTGAGCTCAATTTATCGAGACTCAACATGCTCCCAAAACTCTGCTCTGGATGTGTAGCAATCTAACTATAAGATCTTAAAAATGGCAAATAAAAAGTGCTACAGAATATGTATAATATATCGCATAGCTGTGTAAAAGTTGATAACCTGGTTGCTTCCATGGAAGAAAACTGGTAGCTATAGCACAGACATAGAAGACTTTTCCTTGCATATTCTTTTAAATATTTTGAATTTTGATCCATGTGAACATAAATTGTTGGGACTAAATTTTCAAATGCTAACCACTCAAGAAGTATGACAGTCTTCCTGTCCATGGACACAGCATTCCTTTCTCCATTCTAGAGAACAGTTAGTTTCTAATTGCACATATAGTTTTATATAGAGAATTTATTGAGTAAAAGTTGAACGAAGTAAATAAATAAATAAAACCATACCTAAAGAGATTCTAAAAATCTGGATAGTCTAGATAATCAACTGCAGGATATGTAAGTTGGGGAAGGATGAGAATAAATGGGTTATATGAGATGGACTATGTCAAATGGGAGAAGCACTACTTAGAGACTGGTTAAAAAAAAGCGGGGGGAGGTAGAATTTAAGGTTTATATGGTTATACGCAAAGACAAAAAAAGAGAGGACTGGTCAACAAACATGAAAAGATGCTCGGTATAGCTAATCATTATAAATCAAAACTACAATGAGATATCACTTTACATCCATTAGGATGGCTAACAACAACAAAAAAAATTGAAAAACAGAAAACGTGTTGGCAAGGATGTGGATAAAATGGAACATTTGTGCACTGTGGCTGGGAATGGTGCAACTATTGTGGAAAACAGTATGATGGTTACTCAAAAAATTAAAGACAGAATTACTATATGATCCAGCAATACAACTTCTGAGTTCATATCCAAAAATTGAAAAAAGGGTCTCAAAGAAATATATGTACACTTAGTGCACAGCAGAATTATTCACAATAACCAAAGGTGAAAGTGACCCAAATGTTCATCAGCAGATGAATGAATAAACAAATGTGGTATATACATATCACAGATTATTATTAAGCCTTAAAAACTAAGGAAACTGTGACACATGCTACAATATGGATGAACCTTGAGGACATTGTGCTAAGTGAAATAAGCCGGTCATAAAAAGATAAATGTTGCATGATTTCACTTATATAAGGTACCTAAAGTAGTCAAACTCATAGAAATAGAAAGTAGAATGGGTGTTTGCCAGGGGCTAGAGGGCGGGGGGAAAAGGTTATTCTTTAACGGTTATGAAAAAATTTTGTAGATTGGCTGCACAATGTTGAAGTACTTAACACTAGTAAATTATATACTTTTAAATGGTTAAGACTCTTATGTGTCTTTTACCACAATTTAAAATGTTTTAAAAGACCGAGAGAAGGCAACTAGGTACTTGCCCCTTAGCATCACTGACTTAAAAATTGTCAAGTTTAAGCCTACATATTTGTTGTTGTTGTTTTTTTCTGAGATCAGAAAACAGAAATTCATTAACATCTGGATTAAGGCTATTGTTTTTAGTCATTGAAAAAAGGTATAAAATCACCTCAAACAGAAAGTGTTAATTCTTTCTCTCTAAATATGTCATTAGCCTTTTTTTCTAAGATGGAAAATATACAACAGAAAGAAAAAGGGATGACAGAATCTTAATTACAATACTGTCTAATTTCTTTTGTCTTCTCTTTCCACAATTTTTAAAGTCATAAACATACTCTATGTACAATTTTGTACCCCCACATTCTGTATCCTGTTTCCACTTTTCACAAATATTTTCTGTTTTAAATAAACATATTTAAAGGCTACATAATATTCCATCCAGTGAATGTACCTTTTTTTTTTAAACCAAACAAAACAATACTGTGACTAATACCTTTGGTACATAAAGCTTTTTCTGTAATTAAAATTATTTCCATAAGATATATTTCAAAAAGCAGAATTACTTGGTCAAGGAGTATGATTATTTAACGTTTTCCAAAAGAATTATAGTCCAACAGAAGCACATGAGAAAACAATGGGAATATTTAAAGAAGTCATTATTAACATGATAGGTGAAAAATGGTATATTGTTTTACATTTCTTTAATTCTCCATTAGTTCTGTGAGCTATCTGTTCATATTATTTGTCCATCCATCTACCAGAACATAGTTTTTCTTATTAGCCTATATTATTTTCTCATATAAATTTTACTTCTATCATGTTGATACAAATAATTTTTCCAGTATGACCTAACTATAATTATTTTAAAACGTTTAATTTTGACAAATTCATCCAGTGTTTCCTTTGTTCTGTCTTCAACTATTAAGCCTCCATATAGTCCCTTCTTCAGGAAGAGTGCAGTGATTTTTAATCTATACTAATACAAGTGTAATCTCAGAGAGTAAACATATAAACAGCATCAAAGATGGTATCATATATTTTCTACATACTATCTCTATTTAAAAACCTTTAAAACACTTCATTTCAGAAGACATAAGTTAGAATATGAAGCAAACGAGGGGAAAAAAAGATGTACTACTATAGCATTGAAAGAAACTATAAAAGACTTTTAAAACCTTGTTAAATTACTGGAAATGATATTTTTCTGTTTCACTGTGAGTCAGATTTTCCCCCCATAATAATGTCATTAAGAAATCCTATATCTAATGGAAAGTAACATGAACAAAACAACATACATTTCCTAGTGAAAGCTGCTATAGTCAGCAACTAACATTTTGGACAATTATTACAACCACGTTTTCTATGGAAAAGAAGATAACCTATTTTCTATAAAGAAGAATCAACTAATCAGCATTTTTTCCCCAAAATGAAAACAGCTTTCTAATTTCATCTCATTATAAACAATACATACGCTGCATTTTAATGTTATCGGAGCACAACTTTTATTCACTTATTTTTAGCTATTGTTCCTGCAATTGAGGATAAGATCAACAATCTGTTATAAAACTTGCTCAACACAGAATAAATTTTAGGCGTATAAAGGCATTTTCTGTAAAAATTAAGCTCCAGGCAGCAGCTGGAAGCTTAACAATGAGACACTCAAGTAGGGCACAATCACAGGGGGCAGTAAAACAGCTTCCAAGTGCAGTCAATGGGCATGAATTGGGGGAGCTGAAAAACAGCAGCAGGCTGTGATCTTGCTGACAATTAGAGAATGTAAGTAAAGGCATGGCACTTATGAGAAAACTTTTAAAAACACTGAACTAAAAGCTTTTTTATATTATTACCTCTGGGATTCCCTAAATTGAGACTCAAAGAAATTGTCATTTACTGTGGATCTCACAGTAAGATGTGAACGCAAGTGCGGAAGCCAGAACTGTTTTAATCCAAAATTCATGTTCTTTTATTCCACAATACCCCTCCTCCAGGAATACCCTCACATTCCCAACTTGCCCACTTGGCAAACTTCTACTCTGTTTTCAAGTTACATCTCAAACATGATGTTTCTGACAGCTCCAGGTCCCTCCTTCCTTAATGCCTTCAGAACTGTGCTTTTGGAGATGTTTCTAATAAGGTTACTTAACACTCTGAACTGTGTTTATTGGCATGTCTGTTTTCCCTAGTTTCAAGGCACCTAAGGACAGGGCTTGTATCGTGTAAATGTATGCTCTGTGCCTAGCAGAGACCCTCACAGGAAACATCAAGAAACACAGTATAGTATTCTTGTCTGATAAATGAAGAGGATATTGAACAATTATAAGCTTGAGGGCAAGGAGTCTCCTGCTCACCATTTCCACAACTGAATTCGTGATCTTCCCTCCAAATTGTTCCTATCAATCATACAGAATTTCCTTCTGATCTTCAAATGTGCCTGCCTTGCTTTCTCTCACCTTCAGGCTTTTACATACACTATTCCCCTTCTCTTCATCTGGCATATTCCTAGGAGTTATTCTTCAGGGCAAACTTTCATGACTCCCCTAGACTGGTTTAGAAGCACATGTTCACCCTCTTCTCATGGAACTTATCAAAGTATTGAAATTATCTGCTTTCTGTCTCCCCACCAGAAAGCAAGCTCCACGGAGTCAAAGACCACATCCTGTTCCCAATATAGTACTAATATTCTGTACCATTTAATACTGCTGAGTAAGTCAATGTGTTTAGTTGAGTTTCCCTACTGAAGACTGATAGAAATAATGATTAAAAAAACATCTTTAGACAATTACTTCAACCCATCTTTACAAACAGGACAATTCAGGCACAAGAAAATACCCTACTTTAGTGTTGGAAATTCATTTTAAGTAAATAGGATGATGTGTGAAAAAAACAAACAAACCATTTTTAGATGGGACTACAGTCTAGTGGTGACACAACAGTACTGCACAGATGTATCAGAGACCAAACATAACCTTAAAGGATGACTACAAATAGAGCTAACACACTCAACTTTTGGACAACAGAAATGATTCTAATTGAGACACTGCACATTATAAAGTCTATATGAAAAAAACATTTACATAAAACTGCATGTTTGTTGGTAACAATATTCTCAGGATAAAATACATTTTGCAAACATAGTGTACAAACATCACAAACGAGGCCAGTCTGACAAAGATGCTTGCCAAATCTATGCTGAAAAAGCCTCAGAAGTGTGATGGTTCTCAATGACTATGATTAGCCCATTGCTCCTCAAAAGCTAACAAAATAACTAGACATTATTTAACATCTACAATAACTTTAAAGCGATAAGCTCCATGGCGTAGTTGACGCTGTGGAACACCATGCTTAATTTTATGATAACAGGAGAAATGTAAAGTTTCTTCGACTTGATCGTCTTAGAGGTAAACAGACGAGCTTCTATCATTCCACACTCATTCCTTGCTCATCTGCTGCATCTTTCCGTTAGTGATTCGTGTGTCTGATTATTTTACTCTCTCCACTCGACTATAATCTCCACGAAGGTAAGGGCTGTTTCTGCCCTCCGCGTTAAGCCGCCCCCGCGGCCTGGCAACCCGAGGGCACCCGGCGCACTCCCTGGAGGAGTTAAGCGGTCCCGCGTCCCGATCCGCCGGCGACGAGCGGACGCCTAGACCACGCCGCCCCGGCTCTCCCACCCCCGGCTCCCCGCCCAACACCGAGATCTTTTTTGGAGGGCGCTCGCCTTAGAGACGCGGAGGGGCGGTTTCAGAGGTGAAAGCCACCCCGCGGCGGGAGGTCTTCAGTTTTATTTTGATTGGGGGGCGGGAGAGGGAAAGGAGGTGGAGACCCACGACAAAAAGGGCACAGGGCAGCCAAGGGGCGAGAACCGGAAGCAAGCTCGGTCCGGGGACAGCGGCAGGCCCTCCCCCTTCCGCCGCGCGCCCTCCGCGCCCCTCCCCCACCGCAGCCTCCCGCACGCGACCCCCACCCGGCGCACGACCCGGCTTGCCGTCCCCGCAGCTCCGCATCCACGCACTCTTCCCCTGCCCGGGGACTCAGGAACACGTCCCACCCCTGTCCCTCGCTTACCTGTGGCTGCCGCCTTGCCGCTGTCCGGGGCGGGAACTTGCACTCCCCCCTCCCAGGTGGATCCGAATTCACTACCTACTTCTCCACCCCCTCACGCGGCGGGGGACGTGCCTCTTAAGCGTCTGACGGGGCGGGGAGATTCAGTGTCACTTAGCCAACTGTCCTAGGCTACCGTTTCCTCGGCAGTCAGGGCCGCCACTGGCGGCATTATCTACAGCAGGCTGGGGGCGGGGAAGGGAGGGGGCCAAAACTGAGTTAAGTGAGCGTGGGGGGGGGGGTGAGGTTAAGGCGGTGCCTCCGTGCGGCCACCGCCCTACGTCAGCACGTCGCTCACGTGGTGCGCCGCCATCTTGTGCCGGTTTTCCTCTGAATGGCGAGCTGCGCGTACGGAAAGTGTTGCCCGGGAGAGGTTTGGTGAAAGTTGCTTGCGGTTCCTTTTCGCTTCAGCGGCTCTACGGGCACTCCTCCCACATGTTTGTTTTCGGAGGCTAGCACCAACTTGGTGGTGTCAGAGGCGGCTCGGTGTGGGGCAGCTTTCATCGCTTAGTCGCATCGCTCTCGGCTCAGCTCCTACTTGCTCCGGGTTGGATGATCAGGCCCAGAGCTGTCGCCCCTCGCCTTGACCCACGCTTCTGGTAGAGAAGGGACTTGAAGCTTGGAGGTTTGTCCTAGTAAGCTTTAGTTCACCCAGACTTTTTGACCCCATGAAGTTGCGTTAGGAGTTGTATCCTTTATCCCATATGAAAGAATTGTCTACAAAGAGTGATTTGAAACAAACAAGGTGCCCGTAGCGTGTCACGTGGAAGCAAAGATTTACCCTAACTGTTAAAACAATTTTGAAAAAAGTTACGTACAATGGAGTGTCGTAAAATAAAATGTTACACTGTCATTTTAATAACAAACTTTAAAAATTTTTTTAATGTGTCTACCTCTGGAGAAGGGATTATGCGTTCTTAATACTTAATTCATTTCCTTGCAAAATGTTCTTTTATGGCTTAGTAGGGATAATGATAAGTGAGAAACCTTTTAGTATGCTCTTGACAAAAAGTTCCAGATTTTTTTCTGTAATTTTCCTAATTTGAGATCTCCCATGTAGGAAACTGATTAAGTAGATAGAGTCTCTTCCTGGTTTTGACCTTTAAGGATAGATAATGTAATTTCAAGCTGAAGAGTTACTGTGGGCCAGACACTCCTAAGAGCCCACAAACCATTGTTATTCATTCATCAAATATGATTGACTACTTGTTAAAAGCTAAAACAGGTTGACTGGCTTTATTTTAGATTTTTGATTAGGCAAATTACCCAACCTATCTAAGCTTGTCGTCTTATCAAAGTTAGGAAACCTATACTACTCAAGCCATGTCCCAGAATTATTTAAAGAATCAAAATACGTATCATAGAAAGCAAAATGCCCTTAAAAAGGTAAGGAGTGGGAAAGAGGTTCTCAAGATACCCTTTCCCAGTGTCAGTCATGGAATCCAGAACATTCGTGGCTGGAAGGCTGGTTCTATGTTTATTTTGTTTTGTTCCTTCCTTGGAACACAGAATGTTTAACAAATGTTAATTAGTAAAAGGAGGGGGTGGGGAAACTGAAAAATGTTACTATCAAAAGAAACTAA